TCCTCCAACTCCAACCTAACAGTGCCAAACGGAAAAACTCCACCGTTCATTGAAAGGGTTTCCCATAGTATGCCAGAGGTACCCTTTTGTCACAGAGAAATACGAAAATCCCTAAAAAAGCTGGATACAAACAAAGCAATGGGTCCGGATGGCATTCCCGCAATAGTACTCAAAAATTGCGCCAACGAACTCACCCCAACTTTCGCAAAATTATTCAATTTGTCTTACAGGCGAGGAGTATATCCATCATCATGGAAGTCTGCCGCAGTACAACCCATTCCAAAGAAAGGAAAAAAGACAGATCCGTTAAACTATAGACCAATTGCTCTACTTCCGGTGATATCAAAAGTAATGGAAAGAGTTGTGAACAATCACCTAACCAAGTACTTGGAAAAGTACAAAATTATCAACGATAAGCAATACGGATTTCGAAAATATAGGTCAACTGGCGATTTACTTACATACGTCACTCACTTATGGCAAAAAGCGATTGAGTTGCGGGGTGAAACAAGAACAATTGCCCTAGATATATCTAAAGCATTCGACAAAGTTTGGCATGAAAATCTGCTCAACAAGCTCAAAGCAATGGGATTATCGCCGAAACTTTGCACTTGGTTTGAAAGTTACCTAAAGGACAGATCCATTTATGTTGCACTGGATGGCCAGAACTCCAACTCTTACCAAATAAATGCTGGTGTGCCACAGGGAGCAATCCTTTCGCCAACTCTTTTTCTGATTTACATAAATGACCTCATAGATAAAACAGTAAATCCACTTTATTGCTTTGCAGACGATGGCAATGTAGTCTCTTCACTCATACCACCCACAGGTCTTTCCGCACGTGAATTCCACCATCTTAGACTAACTCAAATATCGCAGATAAATAACGACCTGGAGATAATAGAGGACTGGGGTAACAAAAACCTTGTACAGTTCAACGCGCAGAAAACCCAAGCAGCTCTGTTTTCAAAAAAGACCAGCACCGGTGAGCCAAACATCATGCTATCTGGAAGTGCTGTCACATTACAGAGTCAGTTGAACATCTTGGGGGTTACTGCAGAGACCAACATGTCTTGGCACAGTCACGTGGCAGATATTGCTAAAAGGGCCTCCCAAAAGCTGGGGGTGCTATTTCGTACAAGAAATCTGTACACACCAAGCCAATTGCTGACACTCTACAAAGCCCAGATTCGACCAACTATGGAGTACTGCTCACATATATGGAGTGCAGCACCCAAACATACCTTAATGCTTTTGAATACCGTGCAAAAACGAGCTATCAAGCTGATCAATGACCCCGCACTTACTCGTAACTTGGATGGTCTCGAACATCGCAGATCTGTGGGCGATTTATCTCTCTTCTACAGGTACTATCACGGAAAATGGTCTGAAGAGTTGGCACGTATGATTCCACCGAGAGTAGCACCTACCAGGCGAACCCGTCAAACAGACGGTAACCATGAATTTACTGTCAAACTAGAGGCACCAAGAACCTCATTATATCAGAATTCATATCTCTGGAGAACAGCATCGCTGTGGAATAAACTCCCTGCGACGGTTTTCCCTGCAGGTTACAACCTGAACCGTTTCAAGACCAACATACACCGACATTTCCGCGCACTTGCCGCTTCTCGAGCGTGATAGGACATTTCCTTGCGAGTGCGCATATCCGTAAAAAAAAAAAAAAAAAACAAGACTGAATACTTAGGAGTCAAATAAAGATTCAGTCTTGCGCTGTACAGTATAAGTTTGCGCAAACAAGTTGATGGACATGACGGAGCGTCTATCCCGGCCTTTAGAGACAAGCCACACAAGTTATGAGGTCCTCCTCCAAACATATTTTCTGGGTGCGCCCATATGGTGCGCCACTGTGATCACGTATACACTGAAGAGCATGCATACTAGTGTTAGTGTGTAACTCCTTGATATTTTCAAAAGAAATGAGAAGTTATTCTAATTACTATCGAAAGACTCATGTAATGACCCGGGAAAATAGACCCGTAATTTACAATGTCTTTACTGTAAAAATTAATTGTAATCAAATAATCAAAAACTGAATTTCCTGTATTTCAAATCACTATCAATAAATTGTAAATGAAACAAAATAACGTTGACCCCAAATTAATTAAAATATTTATATACGTTCAAAATTTTATTATTTAGTCACCAAGCGTGTGTCATCACCTAAATCAAATCAATGAAAATATTAAAAGCGAGGCTAAAGTAATTAAATAGGTGATTTATGGCCGCACGTATTGTCGGTATTCTTTGAGTTATATGTCCTCACATTCTTATACGAAATCTGTTGACCCCGATAAACCAGGAAATTGCGACATAATTATTCGATTTTAAACAAATAAAAAAAGGAAGGTGAACAAAGGAATTTTGTGGGGGAACAAAAAATATAAATACAGCAGTTTTAGAAGTCTTGGGATCAGTTTAAGCTTAAGTCTAGTTGAGTCTACAGTACATTTGAGTTTAAGTCTACAGTCCGGATAAAATTCGCGAAGAGTTTCTTTTATTTTGTTGCCTCGGGAAAACGCGTTAGGTCTTTGAAAAAGTAACGGAAAATTGAGAAAGAAAAAACATTTGAATTCATTCAATATTATGCGTGAGCTCTAAGTAATCAAAAGAATTAAATTAGATTAGGACGAAATGTAAGTACTCTAGTGACAAGTTTTATTTTTGACTATAAATGATGAACGACTATGGAGTGAATTAACTTTGGAACTTTATTGCATAAATATTAATAACTCGAGTGTTTTGACTATGGAACATTATTGCATAAATTTAATTGCCTTCGACCTTCGAGTAAAATGACATTTTAATTAATTTTGCAGAGTTTAAAAGGGAAAATTATAATGCACTTAACAATTACCGATTTTGAGTATGAATTCATTGAAGAATTTTGAATTGGATTGTCCAATCGAAGTTTAAGGGGTATGGTAACTAACTAATAAGAATTTAAATAATTGTGTGTTGACTAGGAATTCGAAAATAGTAATTGTTCTGTTTAAATTGATCCTTAGTAAAAGATTGAACCATTAAATATAATGAGAAGATTTGAAAAGAAACTTGTTGTTCATGAAATGAGATTGTTGTCTTTAATCATTAAAAGTAATGGAAAGTTTAGTTTAAAAACTGTTGTGATTCATGAAATAAGATTGTTGTTTTTAATCATTAAAAGTACTGGAAAGTTTTGTTTGAAAATTGTTGTTCATGAAGTAACATTGTTGACCTTAAGTGCTGAAATTTTGATTTAGGGTTTTAATCATTTAGAAATTATTGTAGATTTTTTTATAAAAATATAGTTAGTAATTATTTAATCTGAGTAAGTAGGATTATGACTTTAAATAATTGTTCTGCATAAGCTAGCTGTCAGTAAATGACTTAGGGGTTTCAAGAATTTTATAGCTATAGGTAAATGGTAGAGTTTTATTAGGAATATAAATAGGAAGTGTTGTTTAATAGTATATTATGATATAAGTGTATAAGAGGGCATTTAAAGCACGCGCGACATATTTCAAAACACGACGCGCAGCGGAGTGTTTTAAGTCGCAAGGGCTTTAAATGCCCTCTTATACACGCATATCATACCCTACTTTTTATTACGAATGCATCATAATCTCAAAAATGTTTTAAAAGTGTTCATTCATTTTGATAAGTAGTAATTCAAATGGCAGGTATGCAGGTAAATATCTAGGTAATGAAGGTAGATCGAACGTTTCTATAGCAAACCTTTGAAAAGGTAGACGCATCATAAACATCATTTTATGCACGCTGCAGCGTGCGATAATCGTTGATTATGATGCATACGTAATAAAAAAGAATAAATGTATAAATTTATAAGTTTTGAAGAGTAAAAGAAGTAGGGCGTTATCGTATGAATAATTCCTGGTCCGAAGTAATAAAGTTTGAAAGGATGTGAAATAAATGGATTCGGAAAAATTTAGAAGCGGCTGTCAGGCATAGAAAGATATTTGCTTTATTTCATTTTTGTTTTAAGTATAATAAAATATAATTTGGTAAACCTTAATAGTTTTTTTCTCTCATTTGCGAATAGACCTCCTCCATAATTTTATTAGTAGCCGCCCAAGGAACTAAACACCATCAATATACCGCTCGCCATTTACCATCTAACTAATTAACAAGAGTACTTGGGCGCGTTTTGCTACTTTATCTGCAGTCGACAGTATTCATGGTAAGGTGAAGGTGACAAAAAAAATTATGTGCAGCATCGTACACGTGTTAAGAAGTGAAACTAAAAACTCGTACAACTTTTGGACTTAGCGTATGAGTCAGGATAAAGACGAAGGACCACAACAAAGGGAGACGCGTATCTAGTGACGTAGGGTATGGCAAGGGTATCGGCGCTTGACAATAATAGGCAATCCTCTCTGCTTATAATCCTTGGTTTGTGTCAATCGTTCGTCGGCTGTTTGTCAAGTATCGTCCAAAGTCACATCCCAAATATATGGCTGTCTTTCGCGGTCTCTCCAAGTTTTTTTTTTTTTTCACGTGTAACGAAATTTGCCAAAACGTGACGTTTCCTCTCTCTCTCCTTCACTCTACATTTTATATTTTTTTCTCTTTCGTGTAACGAAATGAGCCTAAACGGGACGCGTCTTTCAAATCACTCTCCATTCTCGTCCAACCGTGCGTTCGGTATTATGATCTGATTTTTTCGAGCTTGAACTTACCGTACATTTAATAAAAAAGTGTGCTCGGTGCAGGCTCATTCGCGTTCGTTTATTAAAATTGAAAGGATTATGATACTGCGTTTAACTGCTCTGTGCGCTCGCTGGTCACGTGATTACTGATCCGCTTCAGCACGCTCTCATTGCTCTGCTCTTTAAGCAAAATACCGAACGCAAGGCAAGCACAGACCGCCGACTGCTTCAAAAAGTCACTATCGATACTATCGATAATCGATAGTTTGTACATCTCTATCGAAGAGTATCCTAAACACTGATCCTAAAGCATAACCTAAAATCTCGATCAGATGTTTTTTAGTTTTTGTTTACGTTGACTACGTTGACTCTTCTTGACTCTACATCCTGACATCTTTGAAAAAAGTGAAATTAAATTAGTTAGAGGAAAGTGAAAAGTGCCGAAATTCTCCAAGAAAATCAACAAAAATGAAACTTTACGTTTTTCTATTATATGTCACTTGTTTCAAATGTATCTCAGCATTCGACTCTGAACAATTAGAGGTTTTTGATGCTGTGGATGAAGTTAAAATTAACTTTTATGATCTCCTGAACGTTTCCAAAGTAAGTATGTAGTTTTAGTGCATAAAGTCCATCAAGGGCAAGTCGCTGTTATCACATGAACCATATAAATTAATCTGAATTATTGAATAGTTGAAAATCCAGATGCTAAATGTGGAGTTAACATGATGAATTTACAGTATGCTCTTACATCTCCATACTCCACACTGTTGAAATTTGCACCATTGAAATTCAATAATTGTTCCAGGATGCTGCAAGTTCAGAGATCCGTTCAGCCTTCAGATCGCTATCCTTAAAACTTCATCCAGATAAAAACCTAGAAAGTGATACATCCGAACAATTTAGAAATTTGGTTTCAGTTTATGAAATTTTAAAGAGTCCTTCAAAAAGAAAATACTATGATGAAGTTTTAGTTAACGGGCTACCAAATTGGAGATCTGCAGTTTATTATTATAGATATGTTCGGAAAATGGGCATGACCGAAGTTTGTATTATTTTATTTGTTTTTATTACCGTTGGACAGTATTTGGTAAATTGGGCCGCATATTTTGAGAAGAAATTTACTTTGGTGAGTAGTGAAGCATTGGTATATCATATATCATCAATAAATTAATTGAACCTTCTTAGCAAGAAAATACCAAAAAGAAGAAGGTAGGACGAAAAGGAAAGAATACAGAAGAAGAAATAGATTTAAACATGTATATCCAAAAACCGTCATTTATTGATACTCTTCCATTCCAAATACCTAAATTAGTTTGGGTAACTATTATATCTTTGCCATCAGCATTAGGTAACATCAAACTACCAATAGCTTAAGTTTTTTTTATTCACTTTTTACAATTTTAAAGGTTTTCTGAAAGATTCGGTGGCACAACAAATAGAAGAAGTCACCAAACCACCTCCAGAGCCAGAACCAGTGCCTGTTAAAATAAAAACAGTAAGAAAAAGAAATAAATTTGTCGTTCCTGAAGGGCCTAATTTTGAGACTCTTGGCTCAGAAACAAATTATAATGAATCTGAACAAACTTCTACCCCTTTGCCGATCATCGGTGGACTATGGACTGATGATGATTTAGAGGAGTTGATTCGTCTAGTGAAAAAATTTCCACAAGGATCTGCTAAGAGATGGGAAAATATTGCAGAAGCCTTGGGAAGATCGGTGCAAGAAGTAACATATATGGCAAACAAAATGAAAGAGAATGGTTACAGGAATCCCACAGAAACCGAGGAAGAAGCACCACAAATTAAAATGAAACAAAAAACGAAAAAGGAGACTGATACTGGGGATAGTGTAAAAAAGTGGTCGCAAGTACAGCAAAGAGCTTTGGAAGATGCTCTAGCTAAATATCCAAAGGGATGTGCTGAAAGGTGGGATAAAATTGCAGACCGTGTTCCTGGAAAAGCCAAAGTGAGTTCATGAAATTAATTTTTGTATGATAAAAATTGTTTTTTTTTTTTTTTTTTCAATTTAGGAAGAATGCATGATGAGGTTTAAATATTTAGCAGAAACTTTAAAGAAGCAAAAAGAACCGTCTGGGGATGGTGTAGATGTTGATAATGAAACTAGTAATGAATAAATATTTTATTAAGTAAATGTGTTTTGACCAGATTTCACAAATAAATTCCTAATGTCTAGCTGGAACCAAGTTAGCCAGATAATTGCTACTGAAATCAACAAAATTATTTTTTTGTCTCAGTGCAGCATCTTGTTGGATATTGTCGTACCATCTGGAGACATTAAGGAATTTCTCTTTGTCTAAACTTGATAATCCAGCCTGAAACAAAATTTGAAGCCAAGATATTCAACATTGAGGCTGCATTTCTTACCATAATATCAGCCAACACGTAATACAAGAACACATCTGAAACAGTTAACCTATGACCAACAAGATAGGTTTGTGTAGATAAGATTGTGTTCAGATCCTGAAAATATGTTTTCATATGGAATTGATTTGTGAAATTGTATATAGATATAGAAAAACCTACCCTCAATAAAACTTTAACGTTCTGGCCATTATTTGCATTTGCAGCATACACAATGCCATATTCAAGCCACTGAAACATTGCAGCTTCCTGTAAAGGGTCGTTGGGTCCTAAATTTGACTTTGAATCTTTGAGGAAAGAGAAAATTATATTTATTGTTCCAGTTGATGTTTGGTTGTTGTTGACGCGGGTGTAGATCTACAAAATAACTTGATCTGTAAGATATGTAACTCACTCAGCTGTTATGGATGGTGTAGGAGAACTAGAAGCATCTAATAAATAATATAATAATATTGTTTCCTTACATTGTCTTTTTGAGTTATTTTTCCGAGAGGTGCCCCGAGATATTGAGCGATTTGATTTAAATACTTGGGAGATATTGTAACCATTTTTGTAGAGTGTTTAGTTTATTGAATGCTGATATTTAGAAATAATACGAAGTGAGAATTGCTGTTTTTTTTTTAAATTTTTTGGTTCATATATTTATATACCTATCATAAAAAGGGATGGGCATGGCATGGGTGTGTTTGTGTTATTTCAATATCGATGTATAGGAAGGCAAATATCGATATATAGGAAGGCAAGTATAGATGAACTATCGATTCTAGCTGGATCCGATACTCAAGGATAAAACACACTACCACTACAGGATCATAAGGCGAGCTGCTTTCCCAATTTGCACATTGGATTGGAGCGCTCTGGAGCACCACGGAAGCGCCCCACACAAGGATTGCTTATCGGCCTCGTTTTTGGTGAAAGTTGTCGTTGTCAGCTGTTTGCACTAGTGGTCGTAGTTTAGAATTTAAGTTTATAATGAAAAATATTATTTAATTTTGAATAACATAATAGGCAAAGAGGAAGATGAAAACGAGATCTAAAAAGAATTGTTTTAGAATGTTAATCAATGTAGTAAAACCAAGTATGCATAAAGCAAAAAGCCCGCGGAATCGTAACCTGTGGTGCAAACAGCCCACGTCAAGGCAAGAAGGGTCATGCACAATTGGTGATTTGACATGGTGGAGGGGCTTCAGATTTGATCCACACAGGCTTTATGAGGATAGGCTATCCTGTAGTAGTAGTGTGTATCAACCTTGCGCCTGTCTTACCTCCCTCCTAACCCCTGACGCAACGCCCGATTTTTTGGAGTATCAAGCACCACGGATGTCAAGTGTCAAATATGTAAAAAGTTAAAAATAATTATCTGTTTGTTTGTTTATTTATTCATGTATCAGCTTGGGCAAGGAACATAAACACCTACATGTCAAAGCACCAGTAATGACGTACAGCGTGTCGTTTCAAAGCAACAGTGATGACGTACAGCGTGTCGTTGCTCGCCGTAGGGTGTTTGCATCACAGATTATGATTCTGCAGGCTTTTGCTCTATGCATACTTGGTTTTTCTACATTAATTATAATTTTGAAACGGCAATGGTGCTACACCATATGACCGCGATTACCAAAAACGAGGGAAGACTATAAGAAGGAATGATTTTCAAAAAATTGCAGTCCTATAAGAATAAAGTGGATGGAGACATTCGAAGCATAAAGCGGACTTATAAGCTGTGCTTGGACCTATATACTTTTGACTTATTATTGGCGTAGCATTATCCATGGAAATTTGACAGGTTGACCCTCGTATAATAATGACATTTGATGACAAAATATTTTTCAAATTTCAGGGTTATGAAACAGAAAGCCGAGTTGCCAGAATGTGTAAAATATCTGAGTAAATTCAAATAGTAAAATTATTCAATTTATTAATTAAACGTAACCATAACAGTGAGCTCAATAGCATAAATATGTTTTTGCAGTAACTTTTTTTTCGGGTTGGGTCCAACGGCATTTCTTCTATTTTTATTTTTTTATTTCTTCTTCTTCTGGACGTGCCTATTCCTTATGAGTATGAGTATCGGCGATCATCGATTATTAATCAATTAAATATTTCACAAAAACAATCTGATCTGTGCCGGTTGACTATTTTGGAGATACTGTTGGCATCTTGGCGTGATAGATCAGAAAGCCGCAAGAGGCGGGAAATATTAGCGTGTCCATTGTCTCCCAGTGTCCCGATCCTATCCACCCTCCCCTTATAGTTTTGTCAAAGTAATAATTCAAATTCAGATCCGTTTCTAGTCCGTCTTATTCGGCTTCCACCGTTTCACTTGAAGAATTAGATACCTCCTCAGATTCAGACAACATTTCTGAATCCGATTCGGAATCGAATTCTGCAAGAGAAATAATGAAAGGAGGAATATTTTTGAAAGGTAAGTCTCCCTTGTATTTTGTCCAGTCTTCTGAAATAAGTCTGTCACAATGTCTACAAAAATTCGTCCACATGTCTGAGGTACATTTTGAAAGAGACTCACGCCATACCCTCGCAACCCTATCCGTGGATGGTGGCTGCGAAGTTATAGTTTTATTATAGAAGTTCTCAGTGGCGCACCCAAGGGGGGGGTTTTGGGGGGTTACAAATCGGGCATTTGCCCCCCCCCCCTGGATTCAGAAAGTTGAATTATACAGCAAAATCAAAATATATTTATTTATTATAAAATAGTACGACGAGCGAAATTTGATTGTGGTGCCATCTAAGACTAGGATTCAACACAAAATAGCACTTTTGCTGTATTTAGTGATGAATCTAATAGGCCGACCAAAAATCAGATATTTGGGAAAACCCAGAATAGGGAAAACAAGTTTTCTCCTATTATCCACTGATCAGAAAAATTTTGGATTAATTTTCTCTGCTATTCCATCTACAGACGCGTTTCGACCTATCAGAACTCGTCAGTATGGCTAGGAACTTAGGAAGGCAAAGAAAACCAATCCAAGTTTAGTGCCTGTAGGCAAAATAGAACTGTAGTACGACGAGCAAAATTTGATCGTGGCGCCATCTAAGACTAGTATTCAACACTAAATAGCACTTTTGCTGTATTTAGTGATGACCATCTAATAGACCGACCAAAAATCAGATAGTTGGGAAAACCCAGAATAGGGAAAACAAGTTTTCTCCTATTATCCACTATTTTGCCTACAGGCACTAAACTTGGATTGGTTTTCTTTGCTTTCCTAGCCATACTGACGAGACCTGATAGGTCGAAACGCGTCTGTGGGTGGATGGAATAGCAGAGAAAATTAATCCAAAAATGTTCTCAATTTTTTTTATAAAATATAGTACACTAAAACATATGTCAATAGAAATCCACAAAAGAGCATACATTTTATACAGTGCCCACGGAAAAGTCTGCACCAAATCGGTTTTCGGCATTAGCTTCTGCATGACTGAAAACCAAAAAAATACCTAAAATTTTTGACTCGAGACTTGCTTCGCACCTGTCAAATGCCATTTGAAAATTTCAAACAAGGAAAAGTGGCATTTTTATAAAAAATATGAAAAAATTTTATAAGAAAATATTGTTCCAAATGACATTTAGGAGTAGTTTATAAACAAACAATTTGAAATTGCAATTTGAGAAATCTAAAATTTTCAAAATAGTCCAGAGGCGTATCAAAATTTTAATAGAAATATTTCTTTTTGATGTTTAAACTCTTGATTAGATTATAAGGATTTGAAAAACCATTAGTCAGATACAAACTAATTATTTTAGAGGAATGGTCGCGAAAGAAATCCTAAAAATATTATTTTTCCGTAGATATTCGAAAAAAAAAAATAAAAAAAAAATCTTTTTTTTTTTCAAAGTAAAAATATCAAATTAGACTAAAAACGTCATTTGGAACAATATTTTTTTATAAAATTTTTTCATATTTTTTATAAAAATGCCACTTTTCCTTGTTTGAAATTTTCAAATGGCATTTGACAGGTGTGAGGTAGGTCTAGAGTCAAAAATTTCAGGTGTTTTTTTAGTTTTCAGTCATGCAGAACCTAATACCGAAAACTGATTTGAAGTAAGGATGAGCATAAAAAAATTTCCCATATGGTGCGGACTTTTCCGCGGGCACTGTACATACTTGAAAATGACCTTGACACTTGCGAAAATTTACACCGGTGCCGTATGTACGGGGACAGGACCCCCGTGCCTTGCCACCCCTTGTCCCGCTGGCTGGCGGCGCCCATGAGCCGTCGGCTTATTTTATTGTTTTGTTCGTCTTTTAGTCAGTGAAAAGTTTCGTGACCTTGATTAGGTTTAGGAGCTTCTTCACCGTGTTACTTTTGGTGAGTTTAGAGATAGGGTCTTCTGGCCCTATCTGTGTGTATCTCCACCAGCGTAAAGCCTCACATTCAAAGATTATGTAGGTGGCGATTTCATCCTCCTCGTCACAAAGTCTGCATATGGGTTCTTCTTGGAGCATGCCCATTGTGTGAAGGTGTTTTCTCAGGCTACAGTGTCCAGTTGCCTATAAGTCCAGTTATTAGCCTGATTTGATTCCTGTTCAGTTTGTAGGATTTCTTCAGTAAGTTTAGGTGATGGTTGTTGTACCATTAGCTTACTGTGTCTGAGCTTCGGAAGAGTTTGTCAGTAGGTTTTGTGTTGTCTTTACACCCATTGATTTATTTTGGTTCTTACCGATGATTTTGTGGTGCCATTTGAATTCAGGACAGTATAACTGGTTGCCGATCCTTCTCTTGCCAGAGCATCTGCTTTTTCATTTCCTTTAATTCCTTTATGCCCTGGCACCCATTTAAGGGTTACCTTGTTGGTGTTGGCGATACTTAGGTTTTTAAGGTTTTCCAAGCATTCCGAGACAAGTCTCCTACTTGGAATAGTGTAGTGTATTCTCCCAGAGGTTGACATACTTGCCGTTGCTGTGCTTCTCTGTGCACCGGTAATATAAAGACACGCAAGTCTCTGGATTTTGGCTAGCTCTAGGTTTGCTTGTCTTTGGTTTACTTCAGGCCACCATACAAGTGCACCATATGTTATCATTGGTCTTACAACTGTAGTGTATATGCATTGTACAAGTGACGGTTTTAGTCCCCATGTTTTCCCAATCGCTCTTTTTAGTCATCTTGCTGTTGGTGGTTATCTTTTGGATGTGTTGGTTTCATGTCAGGTTTATATCTAGGATGATCCCTAGAAATTTAGCTTCCCTGCTAAACTCCAAGGTTTTTTGGAATAGACTGATGGGGGGATTAAGTTCTCCATATTTCTTTTTCTCGTGAAAGGAATGAGTTTTGTTTTGGAGGGGTTGACGCGAAGTTGCTCCCTCGTGCACCATTCCTCAATGATTTCTAAGGCGTAAGGCGTCATTTTTGCTAATTAGGTTTGATACCGTCCTGGTAACTCCTCCCCTAATGACAACGACTAGGTATGTCATCCGCGTAGCCTAGGGTGATGTAGCCTTGATCGTTTAGTTTCCTCAGAAATTCTTCCACGACTAGATTCCACAAGATTGGTGAAATTACTCCGCCCTGTGGGCATCTTTTTGTCGCGGTTACTTTAATAGAGGTTTCAGCAATAGTTGAGTTTATAGTCCTGTGTTTTAGCATGGACTTGATCCATCTGCATGTGGTATATTAGTCGCATGTTGCCCAGCAGCTCTGACTATACAATCGCTTACAAAAAGTTATTTTT